GTGCATGTGTGTTATTTTCTAAGATCATGCAAACAAGGTTCTGAGGGGTAACAGCTCCCTGAACAGGGAGGGTACTGAAAATGGGTTGGTTTTTTTGTTTGTTTGTTTGTTTGTTGTTGGTTTGTTTTATCTCTTTAGACAGCACCTCCACTATGTAGCCCTTGCTGGCCTGAAACTCACAGCTGTAGCCAAGACGACCTTAAACTCTTGGTCCTCCTGCCTCTACCTCCTAAATGCTTGAATTATAGGATAGGCCTTCATGCCTGGCTCTCAAAACATGTATTTTTGAAAATATGGAACACTATGCATCTGGGTGTCATTCTGCACAGAGGCCATGCTAATCTTCTCTGTATCATTTCAATTTTAGTATGTGTGCTGCCAAAGCAAGCACTCGGAATACATTTTCTAAAGCCACCAAATAAAACCCTTTACCTCACGGTTTCTGAGTTTGAACTAATCCACACATCTCCTGGAAATGGGGCTAAACCAGGAGCTGGCTAATACCAACGCAAACCAAGGAACTAAGACAGTTTACAGTAGAGGCGAACAGGAATGGCCACGGCTAGGAACACAGATTCAGGTTATTCAAACACCGCGTTTCAATGTGAAAACAGGGACCAGATTCTACGGCCTCTCTGAAACTCCTGCATACACCAAAAGCCTGTGGCCTGCCACCATAAAACTGTGGCCATGTGTGAACCAAGTGACCTCAGGCAGGGCAAGTCGGGACCTTACAGAGCTAGCCTAGGCCTGCAGGTGAGGTCAGTTGTTTCTGCACAGAAGTCAAGAGGCCATGGGTGGACTATGGCAATAGACGGCACAATTTAGAGTTTGGCAAGGGTGACTAGTAAGTTTTTGGAGTTTGCATGAAAAGAGACTGTGCTTATCGTCTAATATCAGAAGAGGCCTGGCTCACACGTGTGCAGTCAAGACGTCACGGTTTCCCTGACTCAGGGTCCAGATGTGGTACTTGTGCATGGTTTCAGCTGGCTGTACTGAAAGAGAAAACAATGTTGTAATGTACACATATTTCTACTCCTGTTTGAAATATTTTGTATATTGATACAAATACAGAAGTATATTTATTGTAATATACATATATTTCTACTCCTATTTGTTTGTATATTGATACAAATACAGAACTATATTTATTGTAATGTACATATATTTCTACTCCTGTTTGGAATATTTTGTATATTGATACAAATGTAAAATTATATTTGTCATACTATATGTATGTTCTACCTCTGTTTAGGATATTTTGCATATTGATAAATATTAAGGATATTGTTGTCATATTGCATACTGCACTATACATTTCTACCTCTGTTTAAGATATTTTGTATATTGTCACAATTTTGAGGTCATTGTCCTTTTACTGTACACTTGTTTATAGACTCTTTACCTTGTTTATATGAAGCCTTAGTCCTTAGGTAATTTAGGTAGAGAAGACTTACAGATTTATAGTCACCCATGCTTGTCATTTCTATAGTTATGTTAGTTAAGTTGTCCATGTTTACAGATACATATGTCAGATGGACAGGTAATCTTCAAACACTTCACAGACCTAGAGAATACGGCATTTAAATAACTTAGAATTCTGTTGATGTGAGACACAATTGCTCCTGGCAGCACCAATCTGATCCCGAGAGAATGTTGGGCTTTTAAGACACTCAGTGTGGAAGTTTGTCTTCTTCCTGGCACATAACAGCCTGTTGGGCAAAGAACTGCCCTTGCCTCGACTGCTGACAGTATGAATGCCGTCCTTTCTGGACAAGCAGGACACAAGGAAAAGTGACTACTGAACCTTGCCAAGACAGGGTAAGATGGTCTTTCAAAATTCCTGCTTCTGAAAATGGTCTGTCAGATATTCTAGGCCTGTAGCCAAACTGGATGCCCCAACAGTGCTGAAAAACTTTAGGTGATTGTCCAGGCTGCCAGCTGTCTCTGTCTATTCTTGAAAATTTTCCAAAAGTTGCTTGCATGCATCTCCTGTTTTCTCAGGTATCATTATATTCCTTCTCAGGTCTTTGATGGGGTTGAAGACTAACAGTTACAGTTACAGTTACAATATCCTTGTAGCTTAGCTAGAACATACTAAGTACTAGATTCAGGTTCTTCAGGATAGGACACCTTTTGAAATGATCTCTGCAACATGCCATTTACCTATGCTCCAGACTTCTCTGGATGTTAGTATGTGTCTCTTGTTTGATATTCTTATTGGTTGTAGTTGCATTTGTTTATGTTATTACCCTTTATTTCTCCTTGATAATCGTTCCTACTGTATATAGTTTTGTGTTAGGTTATAATTTTCTTATTTAGACTAAAGGGGAGATGTAGTGGGTGCTGTTTGAGCCATGCCCTGAAGCACCGTCCCTAGTGAGCAGCTGTAGCTGTTAACCTGCCTATGACCTTGAGGTACCTGCCCCTGGGGCATGGCGCCGGGGACCCTTAAGACCTGGGATGCATGTATGCATCTCTTTCTTGGTTACTTTGTGGTTTGGATTCTGAGATCTTGGACTAAGCCTTTCAGCGTGGGACATAGCTCAGCTTTCCCGGAGCCTACGATAAATCTCCTGTGGTTGTGAGTTAACCCTCAAATAAATTCCTTTGATCATTAAGCTGATTCCGTGGGTTGTTAGCGATTTAATCACATTAGAACAGGATTAACTGAAGCACCCGGCGTCGCCTCCCACACAATTTGTTATAGTTAATAGTTTGAGAACAGCCTTTTTCGGTCCCTCTAATTAGATAGTAAATCGTGGGGTTCAGCAGGTCCTCCTCTATTATTTCCTAGGCTAGTGTCCTGATATGATCAGCAGGGCCCCATATCAGGCACAATAGTGAGCCTGGCCAGGCTGTAACTGGGTTAGAGCGGGCATCTCATCAGTCTATGGGTGTTCTGAAAATCAGATAGAGGACTTCCTCATGCATGCAGTGGGTTATTAGGATGGTAGATATGTCTAACTACAGCAAGTCCTTTGAATTCCTTAACAAAGGTGGAGAAATGCTGGCTTTAAAGGGGGGGGGGGACCCGTTTCCTAGTTTGGACTGTGTGTGGGGTGTGTATCTGGATGATGCCAAGGTCCTCATTAGCTACCTCACAAAGGGAAAGAAAATCTCTGCATCTCTGTCTCTGTCTCATCTCTACCTCTCTCTCTCTTCCTCTCTCTCTCTCTCTCTCTCTCTCTCTCTCTCTCTCACACACACACACACACACACACACACACACACACACACACACAGCTCATGCTGGCCTTGACTCACTGTGTATCCAGGAATGTATTTGAATTTAGAAGGATTTTGAATTTCTCCACCACCTCTTCCCCTCCCAGGTGCTAGGATTACAGGCGTGCACCACCATTTACAGTGCTCGGGGTCAAACCCAGGGCTTCACGCATGTTAAACAAGCACTCTGCCAGTTGAGCTACATCCCCAGCCCAGGAAGATGGTTTCTCAAGGCACAAGGAGTGCTGTTTGGTTGTGCCTGAACTTCGTATGTAAGAAATTCTTCCCGAGTGCCATCCCCACCACAACAGACAGATGGGAAGACCCTGTTGCCAAACACAACACACTTTGGTTGCAGGACATAAAGGAATTGAGCCGGATCTGAAATTTCCTCCCTACTGGTTAGCTTGCATAACGTCAAAAAGTACCCTGCAGGCTGCTGGAAGAGAAATATCATCAGTGGTTTACCCAGCAGTAGACCCTGCATGCTACAGTGCTAACCCGCCAGGCAAGACGTGTCGACTGGAGAATAGTGGCATGACTGTTATGGGCCTAGACAACGGACTTCTGATTAGATTCAAGGACTGTTCCACAGGCCGAACTCATGCCTAGTTCTGTGAGCCTGGCCAAAAGCCCATAGTTAGGGAGGTCATAGGTTACGGGGGGACCTACTAATGTTGTTTTACTAAATGAACATGCTGTCACACTGCCTTCCAAATCTTTGTTTATTCCTTTAGATTAGTGCTACTCCCAATCTCGGTCTGAGAAGCTTCTTTTTCCAGCGGGGACCAGTCAATGCAGAGACTCCCAACTGGTCAAGATGCTGAGAATAAGCAAGTGTTGAGTATGGGACATCTATCTCCATCCTCACGAGGCCCAGGCCATAAAAAGGAGTCGGGAGCAGACAGCATGTAAGAGCCAGAGGATGGGAGGGGCGCTAGGAAGAGTTGCCTTCTGGACATGATGTGGTTATTGCACTCATGAGCTGGCCCTCACAAGCAGCACAAGCCGCACCAGACCAAACCAGTCAACAATTCCAGCAAGGATGCCGGAGAGGCCCCCAAGGCCCCAGCTAGCTGGAGAGCTATCTGCATTTGATGGCTGCTGGGGAGAGGGAGTTATTTTCCTTTAGAGATGTGGTGCCTGGTGAGTTTCCCATGAGTGTGCAGGCAGTACTCATGAAATTAGTGAAAGGAGGAGCAGAAGAAGAAGAGGAAGAGGAGGAGGAGACCGAAGATTGTAGGAGCTGGTGTTGGGGATGTCCAAAGGAAATGGAGCTCAAATGGCTGTAATAAAGATGTATTTATATGTATGTATTATCAAAAATATTTTTAAAAAAGAAATTTGTGCAGGCATAGTGGCTCATGCCTTTAATCCCAACACTCAGGAGGCAGAAGCAGGTGGATCTCTGTGGGTTCAAGGCCAGCCTCATCTACACAGCCAGTTTCAGACCACCCAGGGCTAACATAGTGAAACTCTGTCTTAAAGAAAGAAAGGAAAAAAGGAAGGAAGGGAGGGAGGAAGGGAGCGAGGGAGGGAGGGAGGGAGGGAAAAACCAAACCAAAACAACAACAAAAAAAACCAAGTAGCCATTGGCCAGGAGAAGAAAGGCATTGAAACAGATTTCCAGCAACAGGTGCTTTAGAAGGCTCCAGAAACTTTTCAAACATGGCAGTGTTGAGCTGACATGCAAAGCGAGATTTGCTGGCTACCACCACAGACAGAGAGTGGGAAGTGCCCTGCACTCTACGAGCTGTCTGTCTGAGCTTGCACAGAACAAAATTTCCTGCCTAAGTCTGGCTATCAGCAAGCTGCCTCAGAACCCCGCCTTGTCGTCTCTGCTCCAGATAGCAGCCCCCGTGGCTGCAGCGTTAAAGGAGAGGGTGACAGCTGGGACTTTGGCACTGGGGCTGGGTTTTATGTGAACGCCACTGAAGATCCCTGGAAAACTAAGAACGGAATGTTCTCTTATTATGTAAGCGAGGAGCTTCCACAATTCACAGATGCCAGTTTCCCAGCGGATCCACACAGGATGTCTATTTTGGTCACTCCATGGGAGGCCACAAAAAATCCTGGAAAATACAAATCTGTGTCAGCATTTGCTCCAGTCTGCAACCCGGTGCTGTGTCCTTGGAGCAAAAAAGCATACGAAGTGACCTGTCT